GTCCAGTTCTCTATGAGATATAGTGAAGGTCAATGCCTCTTCACTCTGGGAAGTAAGATACGAATCATTCAGAGTGGCTTCCTACAAATAATTATGTGTCAGGACATGCTCCTTGAAAGTGAAGAATATAAAAAGACCACATAATATTTTAAGTAAGTAATAATGGTGAAGAAAAAGCAAAAATAATAAAAACAAACTATTAGAACACTTAAGTAGTTCCCAATAAAACTGGAGTGTTTACTGCCTTTTCTCTTTCTTGAATTATATATAGAAAAAAAATCCCTTACATATTCAGACAATAAAGTTAAAAGAACTCATATTTTAGAGATTGGGGGACAACTGAATTGTCATCGTCAAATGAAGACGCCAACTCTTCTTTCCCATGTCCTCAATCTTTTCAACCACATAATTATGTTTTCCAAAAGAGATAGATATTTGTATCCATAGTAGACCAATTATTCTAAGTATTAACTATCCACTTTTTCTTTTTTGATTTCATATACACCATAGTGCAATAGTGCTTCACTTAAAGTCAAAATATAATAATAGCAGTGGCCACATCTAAAAAAAATTTAATATTGGAAATCTTCTTTCACAAAGAACTAATTTTGGAAATGTATGTTTCCATGCATGTACGTTCTTTTCAAAAGCTCAGTTTGTTAATTAGGCAGTACTTATTTTTATTACATTAATGGTTTTTAAGTTTTGAGAAACTGATATTGGAATGTATTTTTGAATAAATTATTAAGAATGTACATCAGTGATTTCTGAAAATAAATATATTTTAATTATATTGAACATTGAAAAACAAATTCCTGCAGCTGAGGTCAGGTCAGGTAATAAATGACCCTATGTTCCTATTATTATATGTGGTCTTGGTGTCTATGGTTCCATCATCAATACTCTGAAGGTAAAATAATCCTTATAGTTTTAAGCTGAATTTTTCCCCACCAAATTCAAATTCTGAAAATCTATTAGAAGAACACAGAAAATTACAAAGTTGAATGTGATGAGCTTGCATGAAACATTAACAACACACCTTCACTTCAAGTATCTTATGTTGGTTGTACAAGTTCTGCTTTGTAATATACCATGTCTATGCTACTTCAGGAGGCCATTGTTCTCCTTCAACTGGCAGTTCAATAAACTATCTTAAACATATATTGTTAGTATTAACACATCTTTGTCAAAGGATTAAACATTAAAAACATCATTTAAATAATGTAGGCAAACATTTCATAAAAAATATGTCCAAAAAATTTGTTTAGGTTTACTTTATTTACTTTATTTATTTTTTAAAGAGTACATTATTGATTCTTTACTCATAATGACAGAGCAAATGCCATTATATATCTATCTTGTGCTTGTCAGGTCCTTGGATTTTAACAATGAAAAGATGACATTTATTGTTAATGAAATAGTAAATTCCATGGTTGTGCCTTAGAAAAAGGGAAAAATAAAATAAGTGTTACTATTATTATATTTTGACTTTAAGTGAAGCAATATTGGGCTATGGTTTATATTAAACCAAAATGGAATAGTTCATTCCATTAACAACAGAAGAAATTATTCCATAGCAAATTAACACTGAATATAAAATCAGAAATTTCTTCCACTAAATTGCTTTTAAAACAGTCTTTAAAATATGAGAAAATGAATAATCATCAGCAATCAAAAAGAAATATATATATTAACCCCTGGTAAAATTATTTATGACCAGAGTTATTTTTCTTACATCACACAAAATTGTCCATTTTAAGATAACCTATTGTCATAGTTTAGAATGTGAAGTGTCACCCAAAAGCTCATGTGTGAGACAATGCAAAAAAACTTTAGAGGTGGAATAATTGGGTTAGGAGCACCTTAACCTACTCAGTGCATTAATCTGGATTAACTGGGTGGTAATTGTAGGCCACTAGGGTGTAGCTGGGGGAGGTGGGACCTTATGGGGCATGCCCTTGAGATTTATATTTTGCCTCTGATGTGTTCAGCTCCATCTGCTTCCTGATTGCCAAGTCCTGAATTCATTATCTCAGTTACACTCTTCTGACACATGTTCTGCCTCAATTTAGGACCAGAACAAGAAAGTCAATCATATATGGACTGAGACTTCTTAAAACATGAGTGACAATTAAACTTCTCCTCCTCTATCTTGTGCTTGTCAGGACCTTGGATTTTAACAATGCAAAGATGACTATAAAACCTATGAGCTTCACATTGCTAAATATAATGTTACTTTTTAATCCTGATTTATTCATTCTAACATCAGTTCTCATTTGATCATGTCCCTCTCCTTATTATGTTGTTATTATTTTTATAGATTTTAGAAAACCAGTATTCTCTTTTTTATTGATTTAAAAATGCTGCTTCCTATATTTTCTTCATAATCCTGACTTCTAACGTTTAAAATATCTTAGATTTTACTCCTTATTTCTTGAACATTTTGTTTGTATATTCACTTCAAAGGTGATCATACTCTTTATTGTGGCTCAAAATATCATTTAGATAAAGTGGACCCCCACATGTGAATTCGCAACTTGAATCATCCCCCATGTTCCTTAGCTCCTGGTAGAGGAGATTTATTAATACCGTCGCTTGGATTTCTGAGAGTCATCATCAATTTCACATGTTCTAATGTAAACATCTTGTCTTCAAGAATTGTTTCTTCCTTATTACTATAAACTTGAAATTTTTCTTTGAATTATTACTTTCATCTTTTATATCTAAACCATAAGTCTTTTGAATTAGCTTGCACTTTGCTGCCATAACAAATGACTACAGATTTTTTTAAATTTTTTTATTTATATGTGACAACGGAATGATTACAATTCTTATTACACATATAGAGCCCAATTTTTCATATCAGACTTAGCAGATTTTTAAAAAGTCCCCAAATTTGTTAACATATAATCCCATGGATCTGATATTACATAGATTTTATGAGACTAAAATCACTGTATCAACAGGCTACATTCATTTTGGGAAACTAAACGGGAGAATCCATTTCCTTGACTTTCCCAGTTTCTTAAAGGTCTTCTTCTCCCATATTCAGAACAATCATAGCAATTCATGTGTCCCTGGCTTAGGTATTCACACCTCCTTTGATTTGATTTTTAATCTTATTCTCCAGTTTTAACTTAATCACATGTACAAAATGTCATAGGTAACATATCACAACTTCTGAAGACAAATGGAAACATATTTTAGGGATCTTTATTCTCTCCATCACAGTCCGCCATATGCCCCCCAAAGATTCTGGTTCATCCATGTGTAAAATATGTTTACTTTATCCAAGCTCACTAAAAGTCTGAATTCTTATGGGATCCATTTACTGTACAAAATCTCATAAAATATCATTAGTCAAAATTTCAAATCATATTATCAAATTCATCTAAATTAGGCCTGGGTGAGAATCTCATTGTGTTTCTTCCTGAAGCAGAGTCTCATCATATGTGGACTTCTGATACGAAAACAAAATTCCATACTGTCTTTTTCCAAAATATGATGACAGAATTGGCTTACTATAACTGTTGTAGACATTCCAGTCCCGAAATGGATAAAATGAAAAAAAGCAAAGGAGTCACCAATTGCAAATAATTTTTGAAAACCAGTCAGTAAAATACCACTAAGTTTTAAGGTCTGGAAATAATGTGATGGGTGGCTCCACCCTCTGGATTGCTGCCTCTACCTTCAGACTCATACTTCTTTTAATGAAAGATGGTACTTACAGTTGAGTAGTTTTATCAGCTTAGTTTCTGACTATAGATATTTGAGGGATCTGATAGCCTTCTTGTAGTTTGTAGCCTCTTTATACTTTTCATGTTTGTGCTAGTATAAAATTCTCATGACTTTGTAGCTGTCTAATGCATATCATAAAGACTCTTCCATTATATACAAGGTCATCCACAGAACATTTTAAAGATAATTTAACCCATTTATTTTTATTTTACTGGAGGAATAACAATTATGTTTCCAAAATGCTTTGTTATTTAATTGACAGAATGTAGGAGTTATACCCTTAATATCTTTGAGAGTCTTTACTGAATATGTATGTAGATCTTTTGGCCTTTTATGGTATTTCCTAAGGGTAACATAGTCACATCATCAACATACCTCGTAGAATACACAATTTAGCATCTTTTTCAATCCTGATAGATTAAGAACTTCCCACATTATCAATTCTTGTTTCTTTTGTTTAGCAATTTCCCCTAGATTTATTTTTTCCTCTTATTTTTTTACTATTCACATCAGGAAAAAAAAATCAGTGCACACTTTCAACATTTTTGCTTTAAAAATCTCATCAGCTAAATGTCTTATAAAAATGTTTTCAGGTTCTGATTTTCACTTAACTGCAGGACACAATATGCTAAACTGTCCATCAGTATAGAATTAGGATTCTCTTCCCTACTATTTCTGATAAGGAATTCCTCATTTCCTATTCAGCCCTCATCAGCAGTGTCTTTAACAAACATATTCCTATCAGCAGATGATTTGAGTATTGTGTTTAGTGAAGTATGTTCTGCACCATGATCCTCATTTCCTACTGAAGAGTCTCTAGCAGAATTGCTAACATCCTTGTCTTTATTCATGGTCTTTTGAAACAATCTGAGTCTTTTCTATCTTGTTTTTCAATATCTGCCTTGTCTCTGCCTACCACCCAATTCCAAAGCTATACCCACTTTTTCAGTTGTTTGTTATCAAAATACTTCACATTCAGGTGACAGAATCTGTCTACTAATGGCATGTAAGTGACCAAAAACAATGGCTTAAAATAGCACAAGTGTATCACCATGCAGTTCTGTAGGTAAGACATCTTAGGCAGGTCTCACTAATCTGAAATCAAGTTATTAGTAGAGCTTTATCCCTTTCAGGAGTGTAAAGATGCAATTTTCCTTGCCTCTTCCAAACTAATTGGTTCCCTTTCAACATCTTCAAAGAAAAAAATGCTGCTTATCTCTGTGTATTCTTCCTATAGTGGTTTATCCTTCTGACTCTCTACTTCTGTCTCCTTTTCCAACTTTTCAGGACCATTGGGCATGTGCAGATAATCCAGTGTGATACCCCTGTCTCAAGTTCCTTAAATTCAAAGTCCCTGTCTCAGGTAAAGTTGTATATTCATGGGTTCTTGTATTTAGAACAGGACATAAGCATATTTAGGAGATTATTATTCTGCTACTATATTTTCTTAAAAATGTGTCTATGTATATATAAAAACATGTATATAGATAGAGATTAACAAAAGTCTCCAGAATTAGTGTATCCTGTATTATTACTCTGTTCAAAACATAATCATCCCTTTCACAGAATACTACTTTCACAGTAGACCCCTAAATAGACTTTGAATTATTATCCTTGTTCATCTAAACTGTATTCTCAACAAATCAAACAAAATTAAATATTTCTCAAATGTAACATCATGTTATTTTGCCCAAAAATTTTTGGTGTCTGCTTATTATATTCAAAACTAATGTCATTAAACTGGTATAAAGACTCTCATTTGCCATTTTCTATTTCACACCCAGATATTCATTACTACCATATACTCCTTGTTACGTCTACACTGGCAAGATTTTCATTCTTTAATATCTTTGCCTTGAAATTCTTTGTGTATGGAACGTTCTCCTTTTTATCACTCTCCATATCTGAATTTCTCACTCCCTTGCATTTTGCTAATCATCTAAATGTCATTCTAACAGTGATGACTTCTTTGGTCACTTTTACTTACAATAGTTCCCTTTATTACTCTCTTAGGAATATTTTTTTCTTCATATGACTTACCTTCCCCTTTTTTTGTTGGTTCCTTAATTGTTTACATTGCATTTCCTATCACTAAAATTAGGTGTGTGACTATAGACATCATTTAGTATTTTGTTCAATGCTTTATTCACAACAGATATGATAGTGTCCAGCCTATATCAGATGTTAAATAAATATTTGAGAAATAACAGCATGAATGAATGAATGAATTTCAAGTTCCACTGCATAGTAACAGCACTGTAACTTTCTGCAGTTTGTCACTTCAGGATAATTTTTTATTTCATACTTTCACATAGAGCTATATCATGTCTGCTACAATCTAGAATCTTTATACTCATATATAGTCCAGAAAATATAGCATTCTATACCATCTGTATAATATGGTTTTCTCCGAAAGACAAATTTGCTATAAGATACAATTCTTTAGATAATCTACATATTCATTGAGAGGTTTGATTATTTGATTAGCTTCCAAAAATTTTATAATGTATTTGCACCTGCTGCAATTGTTTTATAATTTAAATTACAGGATACATAATAGAACAAAAATTATTTTAGTTCCTACTTGACATATTTATAACAAACATAGACTATAGCCAATAGAAAAAATATATTTATATCATTTTAAAATATCTAAAC